ATATATATATATATATATATATATAGGCTAATGTACCGCCAAAAACAGTTATGCTTACCTTCTTCTGTAAACGATTTCTGTTCTTTAGCATGTTTGGCGACAGGTGAAAATACGAGATATCGGACTTTTATTTTTATTTTATTTTTGTATATATATAACTTGTAGCCTATCATTATAGAAACACCAGGTGGAACCTTTTATTGGCTACGTATGTGTAAATGGACTAACTTTTTATTAAGAACCAAACATATATTAGGCTGTAGGCTATGCGTAACAGTTTTTGTTTTTAAAGAAATAAAAAGGAATGGATGAATTGACCAATTCTATCGTTTCGAATCAAAGTTCAAATCATAAAGAATTATTACAACAACAGTGACAGTGATAACGCCATTTACAATAATTTTAACAAATTGTCTGAGGCTATCAACGAAGTTCTGTTGCAGCCCATGGTGTTTTAGTAGCTAATGTTTCTAATAAAGCTTTACATTACTGTCCGTGTTACAGGTGTACATGTACATATAATTAATTGCGATTAAAATAAAGTGTTTAGGTAATTACAAGCTGCTCCGAAAAACAGTACACAGTAACAAAGTGGATATTTCAGTGTAAATTGAATTATTGAAGAGAAAAGACTTGCAGAGCAAACCAATAATCACATCATTTTTATTTTATTTTATTTTATTTATTTAGTCATTTAGCAGACGCTTTTATCCAAAGCGACTTACAAATGAGGACAATAAAAGCAGTCAAAACTAACAAAAGAGCAACAATATATAAGTGCAAATGACAAGTCTCTACATACATACATACATATACATACATACATATATATATACATACATACATACATATACACATACATATATATATATATACATATATATACATACTTTATATATTATATAAATATTATATATTATATATGTTATATATTATACAGATGATTAATGACATCATCTGTCATTAATGCTATTAGTCTGTTACAATGTGTCATGTCTGCGCAATTAATTTGGCACACATTGAAGTTGATGGTGAATGTGATGTTGACTGACGGGGAACTGTCTGTGTCTCAGATTTGCTGGAGGACATGATGGAGAGCCGCGAGTGCGTCAACTGCGGCTCCATTTCCACCCCGCTGTGGAGACGCGACGGCACGGGTCACTTTCTCTGTAACGCCTGCGGTCTGTACAGCAAAATGAATGGACTCAGCCGACCATTAATTAAACCTCAGAAGCGTATGGTGAGCACCGACTCGATGAGCTACTTAACCACTCAATTTCCTGCCGATTTATTTCAAACAATAGCCAGAGGTTATCTGGGAAGATCTTCACAGTTCTACTCCCATAATAAACGCAATTTTTATTGGCGATACAACTTTGCATGCATTGAACATTAATTGATTAGGCCAGAAAAAGAGTGCGCATGCTGATAATTTTTTTAATGTAAACCTTTTTCTAAATATTTGTCAACATTGTGGCGCAGAAACGCAGACGGAGAACCCGTGTGCAACGCGTGTGGACTTTACACAAAGTTACACGGGGTAGGCTATATTGGATGTCTCATGAAAACAAGATTTGATACAATTGAAAAATATATATATACAATTAAAATAAACAGGGGAAAGCCACAGGTGTCATTACAGTATTTTAAAATCTGATTTCATGTTTTTAGGTGCCCAGACCCCTTGCCATGAAGAAAGAAGGTATTCAGACAAGGAAAAGAAAACCAAAAACCTTGAACAAAACAAAGGGATCATCTGGTATGTTAAACAGTAATAATAAAAAACTCAATCAGACAAGTTCAAATCTTTCATTTATAATTCCACTGAGGTTAAGTGCAGGTCAACTAACTGGTTAAAATTATTCACAGGAAGTAGTTCTGTCCCAATGACTCTGACGTCTTCATCGTCTTCTAATTCAGATGAGTGCACAAAGAACAGTCCTTCATCAACACAGGTGCCTGTAACATCAGTAAGTTGATACCCTTGTTTTTTGCTGCATTTGCGTAGCATTCAAACGAGTCAACAATGTGCCAAACCTTACAGCTAAAAAGTTGCTGGTGTTTGAAAATGATTCTTCTGTATGACTCATAAAACCACAAATAGACCATTTCATTGCAACAACTGGTTTGCATTTTATTTGTCATGCTGACATTCTCTGGTTTGATCCAGGTCAACTCTTCCACGCTGGTGGGCCAAGTTGATGTTCCAGGCACGACCGGCTCCATGGTGAAGTACCCCGGCCAGGAGAGCCTGTACACGAATGTAGGCCTGACGTCCACAGCTGACGTGGCAACCTCCGTGAGAGGGGACACTTGGTGCCCAATGGCCTTGGCCTAAAACCTGGCATTATGGGATGGGAGCCATTTGCTGTCCTTCAGCTCTTTTGAACGCCCCTTTGGCGTTGTTCTTCAAATCTGGCAGGGTGTGGGGTGTCATCTGTTTTTGGTCTGTGTTAGTGATCTTGAGCAGAGGCTTGATCTGTTCCAAATACTCCAGTTTTGGTTTCACCCGTGGAATACTGGACATCCATGATGGAGATAATCTTTGCTACTCTGCACTAGAGGACGACACTTGAGAGCGTCTGCTTTAACATGCCTTTGGTACTTTAAGAGCACCGTGAATGTTGCTCGGAAGAGTAAGTGGATCAAAAATGATTTCTTGAAAGTAGTATTGTACATATTAATGCTAACGGATACTTCGCCCATCTGGAAAGACGAGGTTGTTGATTGGATTCTGATGATCTGAAGAGAAAATGTTTGAGCTTTCTGAAACTGGAATTGAAGATAAAGTGTCAAGGTGTTCTTTTGATGAATGCAAACATATTTATGAAGCTACAGTTGTTCAAATAATGCATATATTTGTCAATAAAGATAATGTCAAATAGAGTAGGACTGAAGCCTTGGCCTTCCTTTGAAATCCTTTGTTTCAAGCATGATGTTGTTGCAGTGGATGTTGCTCACTAATCTGCACACCTTCTATGTGAAATTTAAAAGAAAAGAAAAGAAAAAAAAACAGCTCTTAGAAGACTGAACTGTTTTGTGATGGTTTAACAGGGTATCAAATATCACAGGAACTAACACGAGACTTGTCGTGTTTTGTTCGATTACACACGTTCCTAGAGATCACTATCAAATGAAAATGGTCTAATCAAAATTCCTAGTGAAGAAAATAGTTATTTTTAGAATCTACGTGGAGAAATTGGAATGCCGTAAATCATCAGCAAAGCATAAATAAAAGGACCTCTCTGTTAGAACAAACGGCGCTCAGGATTTCTTTTCTGATGCATTTTTTGTTACAATACAAAACTGCTAAAAAGTTTTGCTGCAATGATTTTGGATGTAAGACTACCTAACATGTGACATTGATGTGTGAATGTCAGTGCATATTGCTGTTTATTTTTATTTTTTACTTTCAGTGTGATACACTTCTGTGGTCACTGCTATAGCTGACGGAGGGACAATGTTTAATCTGGATCTTGCTTTCACAAATTGTTGAATGTTTTTAGAGAGAGTAATGTGTGCCAGAATCAATCAGATGTGAACGTTTCTTGTGAGTTACCATCTAAACCACAAACATAATGCACAATGACAGTAATTAATGAGCTATCTAAAGAGTTTAATTCACTCATGAAAGAGTCGGTCTCAAGTGGTTTTGGTGTCCATGATTTATTGCCTCTGATCTGTTAAACAGTTACCCAACTACAAGTTCCCCATGTAAACATCTTAGGGCTGAAATGGGGGATTAAAGGAGCACCAGAAGAGCCTTCTCCAAATGATTACTCCTTAGAGCAGCAGAGTAATTCCATGACAGTGACATTTTTGGACAAGCTTTTTGTGTCATAGAGACAATGTGTGAACAACACAAGAAACATTTTGCTGTCATTGTGATTCTCAGCCTTTATAACCTCTAGAATTATTTATTTCTGCGATGTAGTGTGTTTGTTAGAGGTATTTGTTTGTTTGTTTTTAATTTGAATTAACGTATTTGTATTTTATGGTTGTTAATAATTTCAGTTCAAAAATGATTACAATATTATTTTCATCTGGGTTAAACAGACTTATTTGTTATGGTTTTGTCTTGAAATTATTCAAATTATATGTTGAATTGCAAGGTGTGTTTTTCTTCTCTTTTAGTAGATTTGAACATTTATTATGGAAGGTTCTTCATACTCTTCACATGAACCAATGGAACCACATAATTTGAGTGGTTAAGTAAATACTCTTTTATTGTCATCACCAGTCATAACCAGAAGCATTTTTTATTTTATTTTTTGGTAAAAATGTTCTTAAACCATTGACTCTCCCTACTGTTTTCCAGTGTATAGAGTACTAAGGATGTCATTGCTAGCTCTTTTTTTTTTCTCAGATTAGTTTATTATCACTGGAACAATAAATAAGAGCCATGACTAAAGTGGTTGTTTTTCCCATCCCTTATTTTTGTTGTAAAGGTATTCACATTGCTTTAATTTAATCAAGTATCAATCAATATTGTTAAACAACAAAGCCTATTTTTGCATTGATTTTCTATAGTCATGTGCCACTCATTGGCCAGTTGTTTGCTCATGGATCACAGATCATTTTGTTTGTTGGTACACTGAAGCTAATTAAAAACTTGAAATTTGTATTTCAACAATAGTAACTTTTCACATATATTTTTTTATGTTTCTTTTATTATAATCACATTATAATACAACAGAATATCAAAATATTGACTTAAAATGGCCAGATCTGAATTTGGGTCAGTGATGAACATTATCAATGTTCAAATGAAATATTGTGTGACATGTTTCTAGTGCATCTGAAGACTGCTTAAGCCTGAGCCCTGCCCAAATGAGTTATTGGTTTATGTCAACTCTTGACATTTGAATGTGCTGATCTTCGCTTCAAAGTTGCACTTTTATTTATGACTTATTGATGACGTCTCGGCTCCAATAGTTTGCAGATCTCTGATGTAATTTCTTGTGCTGTTTGTGATTCTGTTGAATCAAACCAATAGACACTGCATGCTTTGACATATTGATACACCATGTTCACAACACTTCTTTTGCTCGAGATCACTGAACGGAATCTATTCGGAAAGAACAGAGACCCAGAACCAATTGTTGTATTGTTTCTTTGTCATCAATGTCTTTTTTTTTGTAGTGCATCCAGTATAAAAGTTCGTCCCATTTGTTTCAAATCTTTCTTTACATTGTTTCAAATTCTGTTAACTTTCTGTCTTAAATGTTAAATCCCTTTGTCTGTTTTGCAGTTGCAACACCATAACACCAGCACAGACTAGTATTTCCACAGTTGCTCCCTGCTACCCTTTTGAGAATTCACTTAGACTGCACTAACGTCACATTACATTCCAGCTCCCCTCTCCTGTCACCTACCACTCTAGCTTTGATTAAGATTTATTTTTATGCATTCTGGTTATCTGCCCAGGGTGTATGACATATTGCTATGAGGTTTATTGGGGGCTGGGATCTGTGAAGGATTTCAGCAAATTCCTCTCTTTGTGACTGAGGGCTGGGAGTGGCAAACTGTGGCAAGACGCTCCACGCAAGAGCGGTTCTAGTGGTACAAGTTGGTATTGCATATCCGACTGCTTCTTTCAATGTGTAGGATACATAATACCAGAACAACACACTGCAAAACAAATCATATTCTTAATGAGTGCTTTGTCTCAATATATATATATATATATGAGTATATCAGTATCTCAATTTTTGTCCATTTTTATCTCAAGTGTCCATATCTAAACATTTTGTGAAGAAGCAACTCTGCTTACGACCTGTTTTCAGAGACATCTCCAACAAAGCTATATTTTGTCTTACTGCACTGTCAGATCTTTATTCACTTGTTTTAAGTATAAACAAGTGAAGACGACTGGCAGTGCAGATTGACAAAATAAGCAAGATGCAAAAATGCATAAAAATATCATAAGATTAAAAAATATTGTTATGTTGTGATAAGATCAAGAGAATTATATTATTCTATTTTTTTAATAATTAGAGAAATAATCTGGAGATTGTCCTGATATGATATTTGTGTATTGTTAAAAATGGGAATATGGTGCACTGTAAAAAAAAAACTATAATGATTTTAGCTCGATCTTTATAAAAATCCTACACTTAAAAAAAATGATGTATGATTTCCTTTGAAGCAATTTTCATTTAGAAATTGGTAGTAAATTTGACGAATAATTGCAAAGTAACACATTGAATTAAAGATCCATTTTTTTACAATGTACAGTAAAAATTTAATTTTTTGAACCGTAAATTTGTATTTGTCAGTTATGCACATTGGGGTTTTATATTACATCTTGTTGTTAAATTCATGTTTTAATGCATTATATTAGTGTCGTGTGTTACCATGATGGGGTTTTGTATTTATGTGTATGACACTGTGTATCTTCTACAGTATACAGTATATTAGTTTTACCCTCAGCTTATGGATTCATCATGTTGCTTTTTCACTGCCACCTGTGCTTTTAATGTGATTGTCAGTATATTATAAAGGTAAAAATTGATTTTAGTAATTTGGTATATTAACATTTTTTATTACTGTAAATTTCATTTCAATTTTTAGAACTTAAAATGTTGCTCTCATATTTTTTATAGTAAAATTCTAACAATCACAGCTGCTGTTTTTTACTGCTAATTTCACCTCTAATATGACTGTATTGCTTTCAATATGTCAACACCAAAGACTATTTTTGATTTCAACTCACAGCTGAGGGCAAGGTATTTACAATACTCAGATCATACACAATGCTCTGAATATTTCTTTGTCTGTAAACTTGTGTACTGGTGTGTTTAAGTTTGGGACAAGACACTGTATTTCTGAAAATAAATACATTAGGTTTAATAAAAGACGCAACTGAGACAATCAGCATGAATACGTATTCAGAAGAATAAGATTACTAAAACTAGATGGTCCACGGTCAAGCAATCAAATGTGTGTCTTCTTGGAGCTTTAAGAGACATACACAAACATGGGTTCATCCGTTTGTCTTTTGATAGATTTTGTCCTGTAGAGAGCGTCAGATGTTACATGTGAACTCAAATTTGAATTTCATTTAAAACTGCAAATGACGTTATCTGTTGCACATTAATCAATCAGTTGGCACTTTACCATGCACTACACTGCAGGTATGTGCAATATAATTCTAATATGCACATATTTCCCTTAAAATCAACATTGAGTTTTGCTTTAGTTCCACAGCTTCTGATGTCCAGTACTGAACTCTGTATTTGGACAGTGAATAAAAGGGTCAGTGTCACCCTCTCCTCTCTGGGGTGGGGTTGAAAGTCCACCCTGTGCCAGAGTAAACATAAAGGAGGTATCAGGACTAAGAGCTGAGAGCCTTAGGCTGTTTGAAAATGGGTAAATAATGGTTTTCCCCTAGGGGGAGTTACCCAACGGATCTCAGTGAGGGACTGTCTGTGCCTACAGCCTCCGGAAGAAATGGGATCACTGACGCAGCCCTTGAGGATTTCTAGTAAAATTTAGCTCAATTTCCAGCCAATATTTCCCTAAACAAACAGGCTTGACATTCTAAAAAAGGAAACCCTGAGGATATTTCCTTAGGAATATGAGTACTACATTTGTATGACATATTACGAAGGAATGATAATATAATGGAATAATGAAGACATGGCAGTTCGGTGCAATGTTTCTTTATTCTTACCACATCACAAAATACTATCACTTTTTTATTATTATTGTATAGTGACAATAAAGAATGCAGTATTTATTATAGACTACGGCACATGTATGGAATGTGCATTACATTTTAAAAAAGGAACATAATTAGGTAAAACACTACCAGTCAAAAGTTTGGAAACATTAAGATTTTTATCATTAATAAGTTTGAATGTTGATGAAGAATGTTTATTTGATCAAAAACTCAGTACAAAACTGCAAAATGAAACACTTAAACATAAAACCCACCCCTAAATATCACATATGTGACCCTGGACCACAAAACCAGTCTTAAGTC